AGAGGTCCATTCAGAGGTCCAATCATAGGTCCAATCAGAGGTCCATTCAGAGGTCCAATCAGAGGTCCAATCTGAGGTCCATTCAGAGGTCCATTCAGAGGTCCAATCAGAGGTCCAATCAGAGGTCCATTCAAAGGTCCATTCAGAGGTCCAATCTGAGGTCCATTCAGAGGTCCAATCAGAGGTCCAATCAGAGGTCCATTCAGAGGTCCAATCAGAGGTCCAATCTGAGGTCCATTCAGAGATCCAATCAGAGGTCCATTCAGAGGTCCATTCAGAGGTCTAATCAGAGGTCCATTCAGAGGTTCAATCAGAGGTCCAATCAGAGGTCCATTCAGAGATCCAATCAGAGGTCCATTCAGAGGTCCATTCAGAGGTCTAATCAGAGGTCCATTCAGAGGTTCAATCAGAGGTCCAATCAGAGGTCCATTCAGAGGTCCAATCAGAGGTCCAATCTGAGGTCCAATCAGAGGTCCAATCAGAGGTGGACCTGCTGGTTTTGGATCCTTGTCCTGCTGCAGAACCTCAGTGTGTTTGAACTTCAGGTCAGGAACTGATGGTTGGACCTTCTCCTTCAGGAGAATTCATGGTTCCATTAACTACTGTAAGTGGTCCGGGTTCTGAAGCAGCAGAGCAGCCCCAGACCATCACACTAACACCACCATGTTTGACTGTTTGTTTGATGTTCTGTACGTTAGTTTTACACCAGATGTAACAGAAAGTTCAAATTATGTCTCCTCAGTCCAGAATATTTCCCAGAAGTCTTTGGAGGATCATCGAGATGTTTTTATGAGATGAGTCTCATAAAAAGAGAAATGGGTGTTCTTTTTGGTCAGCAGTGGTTTTCTCCATGGACTCTCCCATGTAGTCCACTTCTACCCAGTCTCTTTCTTATTGTTCAATGAACACTGACCTTAACTGAGGCAGTTCTTTAGATGTTGTTCTGGGTTCTTCTGTGACCTCCTGGATCCGTCCTCCATGCATTCTTGGAGTAATTGTGGTCGGCCACTCCTGGGAAGGTTCCCCACTGTTCCAGGTGTTCTCCATTTGTGGATAACGGCTCTCACCGTGGATCACTGGAGTCCCAAAGGTTTAGAAAGGCTGAGAGATTTCAATGATCTTGTTTCTCATCAGTTCCTGGATTTGTTGTTGCTTCACTTTGTCACACAGGTTCTATTAAAGGGATTCAGCAGGAATCAGAGTTCATGATTTAACAAACAATTACTGTTTCACACAGGCAGCGCTTAGGATAACTTTATCTCTTAATAAATACAATCATAACTTAAAGACTACATTTTGTATTTATACAGACAGATGCAGAAAAACTAATCCATGCATTTGTTACTTCAAGGCTGGATTACTGCAACTCTTTATTATCAGGTTGCCCCAATAAGTCCATTAAAACGCTCCAATTAATTCAGAACGCTGCAGCACGAGTACTGACAGGAACTAGAAAAAGAGATCACATCTCTCCTGTACTAGCTTCTCTGCACTGGCTCCCTGTAAAATGTAGAATAGAATTTAAAATCCTCCTCCTCACCTATAAAGCTCTTCATGGTCAGGCCCCTTCATATCTTAAAGAGCTCATAGTACCCTATTACCCCTCTAGAACACTACGTTCTCTGAATGCTGGGCTACTTGTGGTTCCTATAGTCTCTAAAAGTAGAACAGGAGCCAGAGCCTTCAGTTACCAAGCTCCTCTCCTGTGGAACCAGCTTCCAGTTGTGGTTCGGGAGGCAGACACCCTCTCCACATTCAAGAGTAGGCTTAAGACATTCCTCTTTGATAAAGCTTATAGTTAGGGCTGGATCAGGTGAGTCCTGAACCATCCCTTAGTTATGCTGCTATAGGCCTAGACTATCGGGGGATTTCCCATGGTGCACTGAGCTACTCTCTTCCTCTCTCTTTCTGCACTCATTCATGTCCCTTTAATGCATGTTACTAACTTCACTTCGTCCCCGGAGTTCTTGTGCTTTCTCGTCTCGCAGGTTCTCATGGATCCTGGTGGAGCCTCCTGCCATGGTCCTGCTTGACTGCCATTGCCAATACTGTTGTTGCTGTGCACCTGTCTGTCTGTCTGTCTCTCGCTCTCTCTCTCTCTCTCTCTCTCTCTCTCTCTCTCTCTCTCTCTCTCTCTCTCTCTCACCCCAACTGGTCGAGACCACCCACCTAGAGCCGGAGGATCTGTCCTAGGTTTCTGCCTTTTAACAGGCAGTGTTTCCTTGCCCTTGTCTCCAAGGTCTTGCTCATGGTGGTACTGTTGGGTCTCTGTAATTAATGTTAAAGAGTTCGGTCTAGACCTGCTCTATTTGAAAAGTGTCCTGAGATAACTTCTGTTATGAATTGGCGCTATACAAATAAAATTGAATTGAATTGAATTGAATATATAGGTGTGTGTATATATGCAGGTGTGTGTATATACAGGTGTGTACGTATACAGCTGTGTATATATACAGGTGTGTGTACATATAAAGGTGTGTATATATACAGGTGTGTTTCTTTTTGCTCGAGGCGTATTTCGGCGTTGACGCACTTCCTGTTCTCGGTAGCTTGTGTCAACTTGCCTCAGATCAGTTTGTCAGATTCACGGATCGATCGATTGTTCGATCGATCGATCAGCGGAGTGAACACTGACTGACAGTGAAACACAAACAAACAGTCTGAAGAGGATTTTCCACGGTGACGACAAACTGTACAGTTATAGACAGTTACATCACAACAGGAAGTACACACTACAAAATAAAAGCAGATGTTCTTTCACAGGAACAATAAAATATTTATAACATAATAATCATTATAATCATCATTTAAACTACATTTGAAACTGCAGGAAATATGAATAATACGTCTTTTATTCTTATTATTACGTAAATATTTAACTTAAATATCTCATTTATATTTGATTTATTTATATTTTATTTCTTTGTTTTATTTATTTTGTATTTCTTATTTAGATGTTCATATTTTATTCCTTTGTCTTTCTTTATGTTTGATTTAGTTTGAATGTCTATATTTTATTTCTGCCGTCGATCGCTTCTCCGGCGTTTTATTGTGAAAAGGAGTGAGCGGAACCGCAGCTGTTGCCAGTGCGGGTGTTGACAGGTATCCAGGTGAGTTCCTGCTGTTAGTCATGGGGCTGGTTTACTCGGAGGTAAGAACTGAAACTGTCTCTTTTCTACTTTAATCTTTTTATTACTTTATTCTTTCAATCATTACATATCCGGTGTTTTACCGCCAAACTGAACAACGTGAACTCACCTGAGACACTCAAACACCCAGCGCGTTACATATGTGTATTATATCACAGTAAAAGTACTAATACTCTGTAATACACCGTAGTATCAATACTTTTACTTAAGGAACTATCCGTACTTTAACTACAGTAACTGTTAGTACAGTGTATCAGTACTTTAACTACAGTAACTGTTAGTACAGTGTATCAGTACTTTAACTACAGTAACTGTTAGTACAGTGTATCAGTACTTTAACTACAGTAACTGTTAGTACAGTGTATCAGTACTTTAACTACAGTAACTGTTAGTACAGTGTGTATCAGTACTTTAACTACAGTAACTGTTAGTACAGTGTGTATCAGTACTTTAACTACAGTAACTGTTAGTACAGTGTGTATCAGTACTTTAACTACAGTAACTGTTAGTACAGTGTGTATCAGTACTTTAACTACAGTAACTGTTAGTACAGTGTGTATCAGTACTTTAACTACAGTAACTGTTAGTACAGTGTGTATCAGTACTTTAACTACAGTAACTGTTAGTACAGTGTGTATCAGTACTTTAACTACAGTAACTGTTAGTACAGTGTATCAGTACTTTAACTACAGTAACTGTTAGTACAGTGTATCAGTACTTTAACTACAGTAACTGTTAGTACAGTGTATCAGTACTTTAACTACAGTAACTGTTAGTACAGTGTGTATCAGTACTTTAACTACAGTAACTGTTAGTACAGTGTATCAGTACTTTAACTACAGTAACTGTTAGTACAGTGTGTATCAGTACTTTAACTACAGTAAGTGTTAGTACAGTGTATAGTACTTTAACTACAGTAACTGTTAGTACAGTGGTATCAGTACTTTAACTACAGTAACTGTTAGTACAGTGTATCAGTACTTTAACTACAGTAACTGTTAGTACAGTGTATCAGTACTTTAACTACAGTAACTGTTAGTACAGTGTATCAGTACTTTAACTACAGTAACTGTTAGTACAGTGTGTATCAGTACTTTAACTACAGTAACTGTTTAGTACTTTAGTACAGTGTATCAGTACTTTAACTACAGTAACTGTTAGTACAGTGTGTATCAGTACTTTAACTACAGTAACTGTTAGTACAGTGTATCAGTACTTTAACTACAGTAACTGTTAGTACAGTGTATCAGTACTTTAACTACAGTAACTGTTAGTACAGTGTATCAGTACTTTAACTACAGTAACTGTTAGTACAGTGTGTATCAGTACTTTAACTACAGTAACTGTTAGTACAGTGTATCAGTACTTTAACTACAGTAACTGTTAGTACAGTGTATCAGTACTTTAACTACAGTAACTGTTAGTACAGTGTATCAGTACTTTAACTACAGTAACCATCAGCAGAGAATGTGAAATATTTCAGAGGAAACATTGAAACAACCAAAAGCTGCAGACAGTCAGACCGGTTCATTAAGAGCTGATACACACACACATGCACACACACAGTGTATACACACACACACACACACACACACAAGCATACGAGCTGCAAAGGTCAGATGAGACTGTAGTTGTTTTTGTTTGTTTGTGATTATGGGATGTGGGCGTTTGGTGTTGGACGGTCCTTCATCAGCAGTTTGGTTTCTATAGCTACGGAAGCGCTGTGAGCTCATTACTAATACACTAATGTTATTCTTTAAAGTTTATTGTCAATATAATCCTCTATTCCACCTCCTCTTCCTTCTCCTCCCCTCTCCTCCTCCTCTTCCTCCCCCCTCCTCTTCTTCAGCCATCCTGTCAGTCAGCGTACGATGGAGACGTCCATCAGCTGTATCACCTCCTCAGGAAGGATCCAACCCTCCTCAACGTTCAGGAGGAGCACACCGGGGACACGCCCCTAATCGCAGCCTGTCGCCGTGGCAACCTGAGGGTTGTCCAGTACCTGCTGGAGAATGGGGCCGACGTTCACCTGACCAATAAGGTGCTTCCAGCTACAACCTGCAGTCACCTGTGCTCACCTGTCAGGTGTACTAATGTGTGTGTGTATGTGTGTGTGTGTGTCAGAAGCAGAGGACCTGCCTCCATTACGTCTCCAAGAGGACGTTCTCTCTGCTGGATTACCTGATGATCTCCATCCTGATGCCCATCCTGCTGCTTGGATACTTCCTCATGGTACGTTTCCTATTTCCTGTTTCACTTCCTGGAAGTGAGAGTGTATCTATACTTATTGATCACAATTATAAAGACACCTGTGCTCACCTGTTTGTTACTGCAGTGACTGTTCTTCTTCCACTGTAGCTGACTGCTATCTGCTAACAGCTAACACTGTTCTGTGGATCAAAGAGGACCAATGTAGCTAACAGTCCGTTAGCAATGCGTTAGCTTGTTAGCTCTGTTGCTAACTGTACGCTGACGCCATTCTTGCCAGAGTCACTCACAGAGAGCAGAAGAAAAACAGATCAAAACTCTAATACTGAACACAGAAACACAGTGACTATACATTCAGTTATATTAATATCAATCAATCATACCAATCAATATACATTAATGTGTTAATGTGTGTGAGCAGTTACAGAAGCAGAGGAAGACTGTGTCTCTGATGAAGGAGGTTCTGAGCAGCAACATCAACGTCAACGCTGTCGACTATGTGAGTCAAACTGTTACATTATAATGCTAATGGCCTCACGCTAACAGCCTCACGCTAACAGCCTCATGCTAACGGCCTCACGCTAACAAGCTAAAAAGTTTATTTTTTAGTTTTAAGTTTATAATGTCTTTAATGAATCACACATCCACCTTTGAGTAAAACTATAATCAGGATTTACCTCCTTTACTGACAGTTATTGGACCTTTGTTTTAATGTGTTTTTGTATTTTATGTGCAGAAGGGAAACACAGCTCTTCATTACGTCTGTCAGAGGAAAAGTCATCGTCTGGTTCCTCTGCTGCTGGAGAGAAACGCCGACACCAACATCGCAAATAGTGTAACCCTAACCCTAACCCTAACCCTAACTTACAAAACACGACACAATAACGTACGTACAAAAACACGACACAATAATGTACGTTCAGAAACACGACACAATAACGGACGTACAAAACACAGCACAATAAAGTACATACAAAAACACGATACAATAACGTACGTACAAAACACGACACAATAACGTACGTACAAAACACGACACAATAAAGTACGTACAAAACACGACACAATAGCGTACGTTCAGAAACACGACACAATAACGTACGTACAAAACACGACACAATAAAGTACGTACAAAAACACGACACAATAACGTACGTTCAGAAACACGACACAATAACGTACGTACAAAACACGACACAATAGCGTACGTACAAAACACGACACAACACTTCCTGTGAGTTGATGGTGTTCAGTCTGAATCTGAGGTTTTCTTCTTCTGCAGGACGGAGAAACTCCGTTGGAAATCGCGACCAGACTGAAGTTCAAGAAGATCGTCAACGTGCTGAAGAAGGCGCGCTGATGATGAAATAGTTACAGCTGATGTTTGTGTTCAGTTACTGACAGAATGACAATATGGAGGCTGCTGCAGTTTATCTGTTACAGGTAGTTGATGTTACATTTATTCAGTTTACAACCCAAAATAACATCAGCTTCATCAAACTGCTCCAGGCTAGGCTAGCCATTTCCCTTCTGCTTCCAGTTTCTGTGCTCAGCTAGGGTAGCAGTTTTCCCTGTTTACAGTCTTTGTGCTAAGCTAAGCTAATACTTCCCCCTGGTTACAGGCTTTGTGCTAAGCTAGGTTAGCGGTTTCCCTCTGGTTCAAGGCTGTGTGCTAAGCTATCGATGGTGCACAGTTTGCTCATGTAAGGTAACACTGATGACAACATTGGCTAGCACTTTCTTAATGCTAAGCTAGGCTACACGAGTACTGTTGATAATAATAGTAAAATTAATTCTTTAAGATGAAACAGAAACATATAAAAGATCAATAGAAACAATCTGTAAATAAGAATGTAAAATATAAATATTGATGTATTTCAAATTAAAAATTTCTGTATTTCAAAATAAAATTGGTTATTAATAAAAACACCTTATTTTGTTTATGATAATTAGATTCATTGTTTAATTAAAACTGGTTCATATTCATCAGAAATACAAACAGATTAAAATATGATGTAGATCATTTTAAATGATTAGCCCCGCCCACCACAATTCAAGGCACATGATTGGACCCAGCTACAGATTTTCACAATAAGAGTTCCACAAATATGAGTTTGTGTAGCTGAGGCAGTTCGCAGGTTCACAAAATAAAATCACAGAATCACAGTTATTTAAAATGATTAAAGTTTAAAATGTATGTTTGTTTATGAGTCAACAACCTCACACACACACCGACTGTAAACAGCATGAGAGTGATGCAAATACACGCTAATATGCTAACACTGACAATGCTAACATGCTAACAGGGACAACAGACGGACAAATTTAGTTGTTAACTTTGCTCATTAAAAAAACGCTGGTCCACCTGTTGAGTATCAGTACAGGTACATCATAACTCACACACACACACACACACACACACACTAATGTTGCTGCAGCAGTTTCAGGATGGACGGAAACATCAGTTCTGGAGCGTCCAGACCCCAAATGAAATCCAAATGTTCCCAGTGTTCAATGTGCTGATGGTAGACCAGGTTAGACACCTGTACACAGACAGACAGGCAGACAGGCAGACAGACAGACAGACAGACAGGCAGAGATTACATCAGAAGCGTCGGTAGAACTCTCTCAGTCCAACTGCTAACTAACTCGCTAACACATTCTCTGACATCATAACAGGAAGGAAGTGACTGATTGGACAATGTATCCAAAAATAATCCTCTGGGGTCTACCACCTGTGACCTCTGACCTGTGACCTGGTTGGATCAGAGGACTCACCTGAGTGAGTAGGACAGCAACATCTTTGGGGTCTGCCAGCGTATCCTTTCCCCCTGAGAACAGAGCGGTGGGAACCTTCATGTTCTGGACCTGGTACAGAGGAGGGGTGGACTGAGGGCAGACAGACAGACAGGGGGAGAGACAGACAGACAGACAGACAGACAGACAGACAGGGGGAGAGACAGACAGACAGAAATTAGTATTTATTACAATAATACATTTTATCATTTTATTTAATTTGAAGTGATGAAGAACTGGTTCTGGTCTCAGGTGGTGTGGACTCTGATCAGTCCAGGTCCAGGTCTTGGTGAGTCTCACCTGGTTGTAGTGGTTCATGTTTCCTGCAGCTCCAAAGTCAAACGCCATCAGCTTCCCTCCATGAACCGCCTGAGAACAACGATTTATTAATTAAATGATCAATTAATCTGCGGATCAGTTGCTACATTAACTGATTAGTTGTTGTTGATCACAGTGATATGCTATGTGCTAGGCTAATCTAAACGACAACCACCTTTAGAGATAAAAGAGACAAAACACAATAACACTAGTTAGCTAGCGATAAAGATGTGAATGTATTGCCAGTTCGCTCGCGTCTTTTATCTTTTACCATCTTCAAAATGTGGTTGTCTTTTCATCATAGATTAGCCTAGCATAGCATATCTAAGTACAGGAAAGGAGGAAGTTGACCGAGGCCTGCTCGACTGTGATTGGAGGATAGAGCAAAAAAGGGGCGGGGCTTATTAGGAAGGGTAGATTGTTACAGCTGTAGGTCAGGTGTGTGTGTGTGTGTGTGTGTGTGTGTGTGTTACCTGGGCCCAGTGGACCATGTTCTGGACTGAGGTCCCAGCAGGACAGTGTGTGGTGTAGACTGGAGTCCGAGTCTGGAAACAAACTCAAATAATTACAGACAACCTGCAAACTACTGTCAGAGCAATGTTTTTAATCAAATATTAAAATCCATATTTTCTTGTTGATTATGTTTGTGACGTCATTTTAATTACCAAGTTATTAATTATTATTATTATTCTGATTATTAAGCTGGTAATTATAAGGTCCGTCTGAACGTTGTTAATAGGAGAGATGTTTAAACAGCGAGCTGCTAACAAACCATGTTGAGGTTTTTCTCGTCAAAGCCGCAGAGGATGAAGAACAGGTTCCCACACAGCTCACTGAGCAGCTGCTTCCCACACACGTGTTCCGCAAACCACTCGATCATGTGACTCTGAGGCAGGAAGTCCCGCCTACCAAACAGGTCCTGAAGGAGACATGGTCAATGCGTTCTTAATACATCCTCAATACACATTATACACATATACATTATAACTCGTTAATTCTCACCCAGATGAGGAACTCGGGCAGGACGGACAGCTTGGTCATGGGACTGGCAGTGAACGCTACGGTCGCTACGGGCGCCAAACCAACAAACAACTTGATCTTACTGGCGAGTTCTGGCAGTGTGGAGAACGCTATGAATGCTGGGAAATGAGAGAGAATAATGGAGGTTGTATTGACCTCTCTGGGCCTCCGTTTGTCTCAGCTGGAACAGAAAAATGTAAGTGATTTTCAAAGTAAAAGATTGAAATGTTATGTGTGGTACCAATGGTTGTTCCCTGAGAGTGTCCGATGTAGTAGATCTGGTCCTGACCCGTCACCTTCAGGATGTGGTTTACAACAGCTGGAAGATCCTTTAGAGCCAGCTCGTCATAGCTACAGAGACACAGAGACAGAGAAGAGTTTCCTGTAGAGTTGTGACGTTCACGAACGAACCAAATCTATTGAACGGCTCTTTAACATGAACGATGGGAACCGAGTCGCAGTTGAGAGCCGTTCTTTTTTTTTTTTTAAATGGCTGTCGCACACACAGCATGCGCACACAAGCTCCTCCTTTGCTTTTCCACTGAGACGGAGAGCATGCACAACAAGGGGAGGAGCGCAGCAGAGTACACCTGGGGCGCTAATTTGATACGCAAATTTCGCATGACGTCATCTGAGCTGTCCGACACAGTGGCACACTGCCTTCATGTGAGTGCGGAGTGTCAGTACTGCAGCTACAATGAGCCAAAGAAAGCGCAGCAGCATTCGGATGCACCTTGTGGAATGTTTACAATGAATGCAGATCAGACATTAAAATCTAGTCCACACATGTCAATATTTCAAAATAATTCAAACTCAGATATGATGTCTGAGTTTGAATGATTCTGATCCAACTCTTACCCATCATTCCTCCCAGTGATTATTTCCCAGATAAAATGGGTTACCCCCAGGCTAGCTTCTTAAAAATAAATAAATATAAAAATGAGCCAGTCTTTTGAACGGCTCTTTGAAAGGAACGGCTACTCAAGATCCGGCTTCCTTCAAAGAGCCATAAATCCCATCTCTAGTTTCCTGTCTTAGTCCCCATGATATACACACTCTAATAAAATGTATTTTAAACCAGATTCTGGTCCTGGTCTGGTCCTGGTCTGGTCCTGGACATTCGTTCGACTGAGAAGGTGATCAGCTGCAATCTGCCATCCCTCCAGGACCTGTACGTCTCTCGGACCCTGAGGCTTGCAGGCAAGATTGTGGCTGACCCCTCCCACCCCGGTCACAAACTCTTTGTAACACTTCTCTCTGGCAGGAGGCTGCAGTCCATCAGGACCAGAACCTCACGCCATAAAAACAGTTTCTTTCCGTCTGCAGCTGGTCTCATTAACAAGGCCCGGACCCCCACTGTCACTGACTCTCATACCCACCCTGTATATACAGTATGCATTACATTAATGCACTTCCGTCTTCTGTACAGCTTACTTTTCCTATCTTTCTTATCTTTATCTATTTATATTTTGACAGTACTTTATTTTTCTGAGTGATTTTTGTGTGATTTGTATATTTTATGCATCAATGCACCAGGTCACATTCCTCGTAGGTATAAAAACCTACTTGGCAATAAACATAATTCTGATTCTGGTCCTGGTCCTACCCGCCAGAGGAACCACTGATGGAGGGAGTCAGTTAGATCAAGCTCAGGTGTTTGTACCTGAACCTCCAGAAGTCTTCCTGCTCTGGTTTGAGGGTCTGGTGCTTCCTGGACCAGGTGTTTCCTCGACTATTTCCCATCCACACATCGTACCCAGCGTTGGCAAGCACGTAGCCCAGACTGGAGTTGGGGGGGTTGGTGATCCAGTTGCTGCCTGCGGCCAGGAGGCCATGTTGGAGGAGGACTGCCGGCCTAAGACCTGCAGGACGAAAACAACCCCAGTCATCACTTCACACTGCTGCATTAAATATCAACAATACCCAACATACCCATGTTATAATAAAGAATTCAAACTATACTGAATCAGTACTGAGAGCTCTCATTGGTCCTCAAAAAGACAGAAGTCTTACCTGTGGTGTGTTTGAGTCCCTGAGGGATCCTGTTGACAGTCAGGATGTACTCGTCCTCCGTCAGAACCTCGTGTTCCTCTGCAGGGTAACCCCACCGCCGGACGATCTCCGTCTGTACACAGATATATTCAGGTATTACACTGTAACTGTAATAGACTGTACTACACTGTCCTGCACTGTACTACACTGTGATACACTGCACTACACTGTACTGCGCTGTACTACACTGTAATACACCTTACTACACTGCACTATATTTTACTACACTGTACTACACCATACTACACTGTAATACACTGTAATATACTCTAATACACTGTACTACACCGTACTGCACTGTGCTACACTGTAATACACTGTACTACACTGTAATACACTGTACTACACTGTGATACACTGTTATACACTGTAATACACTGTGATATACTGTTATACACTGTAATACACTGTAATAAACAGTACTACACTGTAATACACAGTACTACACTGTAATACACTGTACTACACTGTGATATACTGTTATACACTGTAATACACTGTGATATACTGTTATACACTGTAATACACTGTGATATACTGTTATACACTGTAATACACTGTGATATACTGTTATACACTGTAATACACTGTGATATACTGTTATACACTGTAATACACTGTGATATACTGTTATACACTGTAATACACTGTGATATACTGTTATACACTGTAATACACTGTGATATACTGTTATACACTGTAATACACTGTGATATACTGTTATACACTGTAATACACTGTGATATACTGTTATACACTGTACTACACTGTGATATACTGTTATACACTGTACTACACTGTGATATACTGTTATACACTGTAATACACTGTGATATACTGTTATACACTGTAATACACTGTGATATACTGTTATACACTGTAATACACTGTGATATACTGTTATACACTGTAATACACTGTAATAAACAGTACTACACTGTAATACACAGTACTACACTGTAATACACCGTACTACACCGTACTACACTGTATTGTACTGCACTGTAATACACAGTACTACAATGTAATACACCGTACTGCACCGAACCACACTGAACTACACTCTATTGTACTACACTGTAATACACAGTACTACACTGTAATACACTGTAATACACAGTAATACACTGTACTACGCTGTTATACACAATACTACACCGTACTGCACCGAACTACACTGTACTACACTGTAATACACAGTACTACACTGTAATATACTCTAATACACAGTACTACACTGTTATACACAGTAATACACAGTACTACACTGTTATACACAGTAATACACAGTACTACACTGTTATACACAGTAATACACAGTACTACACTGTTATACACAGTACTACATTGTAATACACTACTACACAGTACTACACTGTAATATACTCTAATACACAGTACTACACTGTACTACACTGCTATACCCAATACTACACTGTAATACACTGTAATACACCTCCTACACTGCTATACCCAATACTACACTGTAATACACTGTAATACACCGTACTGCACTGAACTACACTGTATTGTACTACACTGTAATACACAGTACTACAATGTAATACACCGTACTGCACCGAACTACACTGTACTACACTGTATTGTACTACACTGTAATACACAGTACTACACTTTGATACACTGTAATACACCGTACTGCACCGAACTACACTGTATTGTACTACACTGTAATACACTGTAATACACAGTACTACACTGTTATACACATAACTACACCGTACTACACTGTACTACACGGTACTACACTGTAATACGCCGTACTGCACCGAACTACACTGTATTGTACTACACTGTACTATACTGTAATACACTGTAATACACTGTAATACACAGTACTACCAGAGAATGTCTAATAAGGAGAGAAGTTCCACTCTCGGTAAACTTCCGGGTTCTGAACTGTTGCAGTTCCCCTCTGGTTCCATGTGAGGGCGCTCACAGGATGAGTGCAGAATGAATGGAGCTCTATGGAGCTATACCCTCACAATCCACTTTTCTCAGGATATCATTGTTTGTCTAGTAATTTGAATGTTGCATTCGAAAGGGGACGCAAAGAAATGACACATTGCTGGGTGTTAGATTTTTTAGAGTCACTTATTTGCTTTAAAAAGTCTTTAAAAACGTCAATGACGTCACACACATCGTACGGCAAGAGATACCGCTTTACGGCAAGCCTCGAGTCTCTTTGTGCTTCCTTTTCTCTCGAGGCATCAACAACACAGCTGACACAGGTTAGACTCTCCCTGTCAATACACGGGCTAGAGAGAGTTTTTGTTTTGCTGTTTTAAACACCACGCCGAAATATTCATATTCCCGCTTCGGATGCCACGATGCCATCAAGTGGGATCTCTGGTCGTAATCAGTCCTTCACTGACCAATCAGCGTTCATTAGCAGAATGCTAGCGCGTTATGGGCAACAACAACTCGTCCTGTAAGAAATCTAAAGGACATAAGTACTCGTTCATTCAACTTTCGACCTATAACCCATGTTGAACTTGCAAAAACTACAATCAAATCTGAGATTTCTCAACCACAATGAGGTGAACGAGACAAATTTAGCCGTCTAGCTCCATCTGCTCCCATTCATTCTGCACTCATGGGCAATCGCCCCCAGTGGAACTCTGCTGGAACGGCAACCAGTATTCGGTACAATGGGACTTAATAGAGAGTGGCCAGGCTCTCCGTAGACGGGCTCTGGTACTACACTGTAATACACTGTAATACACCGTACTACAATGTAATACACAGTACTACACTGTAATACACAGTACTACACTGTAATACACAGTACTAAAATATAATACACAGCAATACACAGCACTACAATGTACTACGCTGTAATACACTGTTATACACTGTACTACACTGTAATACAGTGTACTACACTGTAATACACTGTTATACACTGTACTACACTGTAATACACCGTACTACAATGTAATACACAGTAATACACAGCACTACAATGTACTACACTGTAATATACTGTTATACACTGTACTACACTGTAATACCCTGTAATACACAGTACTACACTGTAATACACAGTACTAAAATATAATACACAGTAATACACAGCACTACAATGTAATACAGTGTACTACACTGTAATACACTGTTATACACCGTACTACACAGTACTACACTGTAATACACTGTAATACACAGTACTACACTGTAATACACAGTACTAAAATATAATACACAGCAATACACAGCACTACAATGTACTACGCTGTAATACACTGTTATACACTGTGCTACACTGTAATACAGTGTACTACACTGTAATACACTGTTATACACAGCACTACACTGTAATACACAGCACTACACTGTAATACAGTGTACTACACTGTAATACACTGTTATACACAGCACTACACTGTAATACAGTGTACTACACTGTAATACACAGTACTAAAATATAATACACAGTAATACACAGCACTACAATGTAATACAGTGTACTACACTGTAATACACTGTTATACACCGTACTACACAGTACTACACTGTAATACACTGTAATACACAGTACTAAAATATAATACACAGCAATACACAGCACTACAATGTACTACGCTGTAATATACTGTTATACACTGTACTACACTGTAATACAGTGTACTACACTGTTATACACAGCACTACACTGTAATACACAGTACTACACTGTTATACACTGTACTACACTGTAATACACTGTTATACACAGCACTACACTGTAATACACTGTTATACACAGCACTACACTGTAATACACAGTACTACACTGTAATACACTGTAATACACAGTACTACACTGTAATATACTGTTATACACTGTACTACACTGTAATACACAGTACTACACCGTACTACACAGTACTACACTGTAATACACAGTACTAAAATATAATACACAGCAATATACAGCACTACAATGTACTACGCTGTAATATACTGTTATACACTGTACTACATAGTAATACACAGTAATACACTGTTATACAATGTAATATACTGTAATACATAGTAATACACAGTAATACACTGTTATATACTGTAATATACTGTACTATATTTTACTGCACTGTATTCTGTGTGTAAATACTGATAATATAAAATAAAACCAACAAAAAGCAAGTGACTAACACTGAGCCTGTGAGTCAGAACTGAGGGTTAAAAATATTAACCGGTCCAGGTCAAGGTTCAGGTCCAGGTCTCCAGACCACAGTCAGCATCAGGCCGGCTGTCACAACATCAGCTGAGAGAAAATACTCACTTCCTGTTTCAGTTCAACTTTAACGGCCAGAGGAAACAGGAAGAAGAACTTCTGCTTTAATCACCTCTGACCTCTGACCTCTGACAGGATGAACTGTTTTTAGTCAGCTGCAAATATGGCTTGACCCCAAAAAAATTCTAACAAAAGGTTTCTCAGTGGTTTACAGTAGTATCAGATGTACTTAAAAACATACTAAAAGTTTACCAAAGTTTGACTCCAAGAAAGGCCCCATTTTCATTTTAGACCCAGAATACTGGTGCCTGATAAGGTTTGGCCATGTAATATTCTAATTACCATATTTGTATGATAGATAAGTGATTACAAGTACGATTATATATTAAAGCAATTGGTTACAAGCATATTTATGCGAAAAATAAGTACAATTTCCCTTAAGTAGTTGCATATTTGTCCTCTGTCACATCGTCTTGGCCAGTGTTGGTGGTTCCTTTAGATTCCAATACAGAATAAATTCATTAGAACTGTGTGGTACTGTCAAATTAGTCAAAGCAGGGCTGCCACAGGAAGGCTCAGTGCCGCTAACCCCTTTTATTATTTTGTGTTTGTGTTATATTATTCATACATATCTTTTTATATTTTCTTCAGATGTTTTCTCTTATTCTGGTTTATTTTTTATACTTTTTTGCACTGTGACCTTCACTAGATTTACCATTAGTCGTCACACTCTTCCTCCCATAGAGGTCGATTATAGTGATTCTCACAATTCCCAACTTGACATGGTCCACAAGCAGGCATGCCTGGTAGTCTATATTCCCTGTAACTGCACCGTTGTGTTTGCCAGGCAGTTGTGCAATTACAGTGGATCATCTGCAGGAGGCTTTCTGGGGCAACAGTCCTACTGCTCATAACTGTCAGGAACCGGTTGTCCACCAGTTTCCATCCCCAATCCACTGTGCTCATGTCAGCTTCCTTTCCAATCCACACCATGATCTTTGGCTGTGGTTGGTTGAGGACAGGAGGCAGACCTTCTGTGTGTGTGTGTGTGTGTGTCTGTGTGTGTGTGTGTGTGTGTGTGTGTGTGTGTGTGTGTGTGTGTGTCTGTGTGTGTGTGTGTGTGTGTGTGTGTGTGTGTGTGTGTGTGTGTGTGTGTCTGTGTGTGTGTGTGTGTGTGTGTGTGTGTGTGTGTGTGTGTGTGTGTGTGTGTGTGTGTGTCTGTGTGTCTGTGTGTACAGTGTGTACTGTGTGTGTTACTGTGTGTACTCACGATGTTCATGTGTACTTCAGGATCCAGTCTCTGATGCAGTTTACTGGAGCGTCGGTGGACGTCATGTGACCTGCTGTCAGTCGGTCCGCTGAGGACGAGAACAGAGAGAGACAACAGACACACACACACTGCAACACAAACCATCATAATCTGACACACAGACACACACACACACACACACACAGACACACACACACAGACACACACAGACACACACACACACACAGACACACACACACAGACACAGACACACACACACAGACACACACACACACACACACACAGACACACACAGACACACACACACACACACACACAGACACACACACACACACACACAGACACACACACACACACACACACACACAGACACACAGACACAGACACACACACACACACACAGAGAATCAGAATGATACATTCAGGTACAGGCTATAATTGCAGGTGAATCCTGTGCTGGACTTTGATCAGCTGATAACGACTGCAGTGATCAATATCAGAGGTCAGAGGTCAGCTGTTGTTCCTGTTTTCTCTCTGGGTCAAAGTTCAGCTCGCTCCCTGTATGGAGATCAATACACTGATTGATTGTGATTGGAGAGGCATTCTGATTGGCTGAAGTGAAGATGACATCATTCTGTATTTAATGAATGAAGCTCTTTGATGAAGGCCCTGTGAGACTAATCAATGAGGATCAATGAAAGCAGACATTGATTGTGGAGGATCATGTGCAGGCTGTGAGGATGAGGATGACGAAGAACTGTGAGACAATAAACTGATCAATAAATAAAGTGATTTTATAATCAGAAGATTTACTGATCTGATATTTGTTGATGATTGTTTCTGTTATTTATTTTATTGTTGTTGTTGTTTTGTGTTCAATTATTTCCTATTTGATTGGTTTTGACTGTTTGATTCATTTAATTTGTTCTATTAATCATTTTAATTGATCGCATTCTTCTTATTCATTCTTATGTTTTTAACTCATTTCCCACAGTTTGAATTCATGTATTGATTGTTTTCTGATTGATCATCAATAATTATTTCATTTTGTTATAACATCATTTTCAGATGTTCTCAGTTTCTTTTGTGTCACATTTATATTAGTTATTGATCAGTTATTGTCACATTTATATTAGTTAGTGATCAGTTATTGATCAGTTATTGTCACATTTATATTAGTTATTGATCAGTTATTGTCACATTTATATTAGTTATTGATCAGTTATTGTCACATTTATATTAGTTATTGATCAGATATTGTCACATTTATATTAGTTATTGATCAGTTATTGTCACATTTATATTAGTTATTGATCAGTTATTGTCACATTTATATTAGTTATTGATCAGATATTGTCACATTTATATTAGTTATTGATCAGTTATTATCACATTTATGTTAGTTATTGATCAGATATGTCACATTTATATTAGTTATTGATCAGTTATTATCACATTTATGTTAGTTATTGATCAGATATGTCACATTTATATTAGTTATTGATCAGTTATTGTCACATTTATGTCAGATATTGTCACATTTATATTAGTTATTGATCAGTTATTGTCACATTTATGTCAGATATTGTCACATTTATATTAGTTATTGATCAGTTATTGTCACATGTATATTAGTTACTGATCAGATATTGTCACATTTATATTAGTTATTGATCAGTTATTGTCACATTTACGTCAGATATTGTCACATTTATATTAGTTATTGATCAGTTATTGTCACATTTATATTAGTTATTGATCAGTTATTGTCACATTTACGTCAGATATTGTCACATTTATATTAGTTACTGATCAGATATTGTCACATTTATATTAGTTATTGATCAGTTATTTAATTTTATTGTCACATTTATATTAGTTATTGATCAGTTATTGTCACATTTATATTAGTTATTGATCAGTTATTGTCACATTTATATTAGTTATTGATCAGTTATTGATCAGTTATTGTCACATTTATATTAGTTATTGATCAGTTATTGTCACATTTACGTCAGTTATTGTCACATTTATATTAGTTATTGATCAGTTATTGTCACATTTACGTCAGTTATTGTCACATTTATATTAGTTATTGATCAGTTATTGTCACATTTATATTAGTTATTGATCAGTTATTGTCACATTTATATTAGTTATTGATCAGTTATTGTCACATTTATATTAGTTATTGATCAGTTATTGTCACATTTATATTAGTTATCGATCAGTTATTGTCACATTTATATTAGTTATTGATCATATTGTCACTTTACGTCAGTTATTGTCACATTTATATTAGTTATTGATCAGTTATTGTCACATTTATATTAGTTATTGATCAGTTATTGTCACATTTCAACCAGTTTCTGCCTGTTTTTCTTTCAGCCTGTTTAACAGCCGGTTTAACTTCTTCTGTGCCAAACTTACATCCGGTTTTCAGCCTATTTTTGTCTGTTTTTTTTCTCGGGTTTTGCTTCATTCAGAAATCTTAGAGTTTAATATTCCCGCGTTCACAACTTAAAATAGTGATATTTAAGATGGAGTTTGGTGCAGAGACAGGAGGTCTCATGAACGCTAATAAACAACCCTTGTTTATAAGTTGTGTTACAACAAACAACTATAATATGTTTAATAATGTATAATGATATATAACAATATAATATAAGGTGTTCGCTCAGTCAATAACAACAGATATTGATAAGCTCATTGGACACTCACCTGCCTGTAGCTCTCCCAACTTCTCTCTGATCAGCTGACGCTTGGTGGAAGACAGCGGATGTGACGTCAGAGGAAATGCCTCTCTGTGATTGGTCGGATAAAGCACTCAGTTATTGACTCCAGCTCCGGTAAATATATTTGTTCGAGTTAAATAAAGTTGATCTTTTCTTATTATTGTCATAATAATTAGGGTTAGGGTTAGGGTTAACCTCCGTTTGTTCGCTTCTTCAGTCATTTAGAAACACAGGACATTTATTCTGAAAATCTCAGCCGGATGTCCCATGTTCATTCGTGCTGCCATGACAACGGGATAGTGAACCCGGGATAGTTTTTGTTCGTCCATCCTCATTCAGCTGTTTTATAACGGAGGAGGAGGCGTGTTTCACTCAAAGACATAAACCCGGGTTATAGCTCCCTTACCCGGGCTGTAGCGGTTAAACCCGGGTTGTAGCTCCCTTACCCGGGCTGTAGCGGATAAACCCGGGTTCATCCGTGTTAAAATGTCCCGGGTTCTGATAGTCGGAGCGGGCCTCACGGGCAGCTTGTGCGCATGTCTGCTGAGGAGAGAACTGCAGAATAAAGTTCAGATTGTGGTGTGGGACAAAGCGAGGGGCGCAGGTGAGTCTGTCAGTCAGAACCTAATTTACAAATCTTCTAATTTAACATTGTCGCGTTCACAACCTCACAGAGTTACCGTGCAGAACACAACCAAAGACTGTTGAACTATCACAGGACTCTGTTCTTCAACTCGGCCCCACTCTGGCCTTTAAAGATAACCAGCAGAACAATAAAAATGTTGTGTTTCTGTTGTTCTCTAAAGTTTTCTACATCTTACTGCTGCTTAGACACAAAACAGTGATTATAAAAACAGTGATATTTATAATGGAGTTTGGTTCAGAGAAAGGAGGTCTGTGCAGAGTGACCATGAAACTGAATCACTAACCGATAACGGCCCTGTCTGTCTGTCTGCCTGTCTGTCTGTCTGTCTCTCAGGGGGCAGGATGTCCACCAGTCGCCCCCCCGACCCGTCCTCTCAGTCAGCTGATCTTGGAGCTCAGTACATCACAGCCACAGCGTCCTACGCCCTGTCTCACCACAGGTACACACACCTGTCTGTCTGATCAATCTGTCTCACCACAGGTACACACACCTGTCTGTCTGATCAATGTTCAAGATCTTGTACTTCCTGTTTACAGTGTGTACTTCCTGTTTGCGAATTTACCAGTCCTACTATGACCACGCCAAGTCCCGCCCTATGCCTTGCTCTGATTGGCTTACACTTACAGGTTATCCTCTACGCGCTTCAACACACCACCGACGTTCACCGCGCAGTTTGAGTGGCACTAGACCACAACGCTACAAGTTAAAGAAAGGAGACGCTAATATTGTTAATAAAATAAACGTATAATCATATATAATATTATCATCGTTTATTATATTAACATCGTATATTATATTAATATAATATTATCATCGTATATTATATTATCACTGTATTATATTATAATTATATTATATTATCATTGTTTATTATATTAACATCGTATATTATATTAATATAATATTATCATCGTATATTATATTAACATCGTATATTATATTATCATCGTTTATTATATTAACATCGTATATTATATTAATATAATATTAACATCGTATATTATATTAACACCGTATATTATATTAACATCGTATATTATATATATTATATTAATATTATATTAACATCGTATATTATATTATCACTGTATATTATATTAATATAATATTAACATCGTATATTATATTATTGTATATTATTAACATTGTTTATTATATTATCATCGTATATTATATTATCATTGTATATTATATTATATTGTTTATTATATTGTTTATATTATATTAACATCGTTAACGTATATTATATTAACATCATATATTATATTATCATCGTATATTATATTAACATCGTATATTATATTAATATAATATTAACATGTATATTATATTATTATTATATTAACACCGTATATTATATTAATATTATATTAACATCGTATATTATATTATCACTGTATATTATATTAATATAATAACATCGTATATTATATTAACACCGTATATTATATTAACACCGTATATTATATTAACATCGTATATTATATTAATATAATATTAACATCGTATATTATATTATCATCGTTTATTATATTAACATCGTATATTATATTAATATAATATTAACATCGTATATTATATTATCATCGTTTATTATATTAACATCGTATATTATATTAATATAATATTAACATCGTATATTATATTATCATCGTATATTATATTATCACTGTATATTATATTAATATAATATTAACATCGTATATTATATTATTGTATATTATTAACATTGTTTATTATATTATCATCGTTTATTATATTAACATCGTATATTATATTATCATTGTATATTATATTATCATTGTTTATTATATTGTCATCATATATTATATTAACATCGTTAACGTATATTATATTAACATCATATATTATATTATCATCGTATATTATATTAACATCGTATATTATATTATCATCGTATATTATATTAACATCGTTTATTATATTAATATTAACATCGTATATTATATTAACATCGTATATTAAATTAACATCGTATATTATATCAACATTGTATGTTATATTAATATTATATTAACATCGTATATTATATTATCATTGTATATTATATTAACATTGTATATTATATTAATATAATATTATCATCGTATATTATATTATCATTGTATATTATATTATCATCGTATATTATATTAACATTGTATATTATATTAATATTATATTATCATTGTATATTATTAACATCGTATATTATATTATCATCATATATTATATTATCATTGTATATTATATTATCATCGTTTATTATATTAACATCGTATATTATATTATCATCGTTTATTATATTAACATCGTATATTATATTATCATTGTTTATTATATTAACGTTGTATATTATATTATCATCGTTTATTATATTATCATCGTTTATTATATTATCATTGTTTATTATATTAACGTTGTATATTATATTATCATCGTTTATTATATTATCATCGTTTATTATATTAACATCGTATATTATATTATCATCGTTTATTATATTAACATCGTATATTATATTATCATTGTATATTATTAACATCGTATATTATATTAACATTGTATATTATATTATCATGTTAACGTATATTATATTAACATCGTATATTATATTATCATCATATATTATATTATCATTGTTTATTATATTAACATCGTATATTATATTATCATCGTATATTATATTATCATCGTTTATTATATTAACATCGTATATTATATTATCATTGTATATTATTAACATCGTATATTATATTAACATTGTATATAATATTAACATCGTTAACGTATATTATATTAACATCGTATATTATATTATCATCATATATTATATTATCATTGTTTATTATATTAACATCGTATATTATATTATCATCATATATTATATTATCATTGTTTATTATATTAACATCGTATATTATATTATCATCGTATATTATATTAACATTGTATATTAATATTATATTATCATTGTATATTATATTATCATCGTTTATTATATTAACATCGTATATTATATTATCATCGTATATTATATTAACATTGTATATTATATACAATTATATTAATTATTATATTATATTAACCGTAGCGTTTACCACCAGAGCTTATTAGCCGCTAGCAGCATTACTGACAGGAACCAGCCAGCCTGTGTATTTTACTCTAATTACAGATATTAATAGGTTCTTCTTCTAAAGTTACAACTGCAGACAATCAACTCCTGTTTTGTTTAATGTATTGACCCAATAGCTACAGTACAGGCTCTGTATAGGATCAATATATTGGTCATTCTGAGAGTGGTTATTAGGCTGCTGATAGATTATTTATATTAATATAATATAATATAATATGATATAATATAATATCAACAATATAATATCAATAATATAATATGATATAATATAATATCAATAATATAATATCAATAATATAATATAATATCAATAATATAATATAAATAATATAATATAATATAATATCAATAATATAACATAATATCAATAATATAATATAATATCAATAATATAATATAATATGATATAATATAAATAATATAATATAAATAATATAATATAATATCAATATAATATAATATCAATAATATAACATAATATAAATAATATAATATATAATATCAATAATATAATATAAATAATATAATATAATATGATATAATATCAATAATATAATATAAATAATATAATATAATATAATATCAATATAATATAATATCAATAATATAATATAATATGATATAATATAATATCAATAATATAATATCAATAATATAATATAATATGATATAATATAATATCAATAATATAATATCAATAATATAATATAATATCAATAATATGATATAATATCAATAATATAATATAAATAATATAATATAATATCAATATAATATAATATCAATAATATAACATAATATAAATAATATAATATATAATATCAATAATATAATATAAATAATATAATATATTATGATATAATATAATATCAATATAATATAAATAATATAATATGATATAATATCAATAATATAATATCAATAATATAATATCAATAATATAATATAATATGATAATATAATATCAATAATATAATAGAATATATAAACACTGTTTACAGTGTTTACTTCCTGTTTACTTCCTGTGTACTTCCTGTTTACTTCCTGTGTACTTCCTGTGTACAGTGTTTACTCGGAGCTGTTGACCTCTGACCTCCTGCAGCCTTTGGACTGTGTGGTTGAAGGACTACAACAGAGAGACGGCAGTAAGAACTACATGACGCCACTGGGCATGTGCAGTTTGGTCAAACACTTCCTGTCTGAGTCAGGTACACGCCCACTTAGCTTAGCATAAAGCCTGTACACTAATAATAAGAAGAAGATAGTGGTTAATAATAAGACATATAAATATAATAATAATCAGTTATTGATTATTGATTGATCTGTGTGTCAGGAGCTGATTTGTTCTTTGAGCATCATGTGACCGCCCTCTACCGACGTGGTGCATCATGGGAGGTCCAGAGGAAGGCAGGAGGCAGTGACACGTTCGA